TTTGTTTTCTTCTGAGGCAGGGACTCAGAGGCTGCTTTGACTAGAAGCCCTGACTTTGCCTAGGCCTGTAGATGCCCAATGGCAAACTAAAAGAGGACAAAGCTTGGCATCACTGCCTTCATTTTGTGTCTGTCTCCTTTATTACCTTAAACTTTCAGTTAGTTCTACATGTAGGCATGTTAATCATACGAAGAATGTTTACCTAAAAACTTGTATATTAGCCTTAAATTTACTTAACGTTTCTCCTTCTTCAAGACTGAGAACATCAAGAAAGCATAACTAAGCTGTTTTCAAGATGTATGGGAACACACAACTGCCAGCTTTTACCATGGGCCATTCCAGGCTCCCGCAGTGGCACCCAGAAGTTCAGTCATTGTCCCCAAATCGCAGCCATCTTGGATTCCAAACAAACCACCCGTGATGAGTTCACACTCTAAGCAGGAGCAATCATCTTAAGGGAATCAGACTCATCCCTCAAGCAATGAAGATGCTCTTGGGAGCCCCCTCAAGAATCAGCTAGACGTGGTCCATGCTAACAGTCTGGTTAGAAGGCGCAGCATTCCTTTGTTAAGTAATCATCCTGATTTTCTCTCTCTTGCTCTTTGGTGCAAGCGGAAGTCCCTACCCTTTCTCTGTTTCTTTTGACATTTAAGTTTGGTCTCATACTTCTTAGCCTGGTGTTTCTAGTATCACTTCGTACAAAGATCCCTACTCCTTTATCACTTTCATGTGTGTCTCTCATTTTATTTCCCTAATCTTGAGCTGTATCCAAGGTGATATTCTTGTCCTTATTTTCCAGATGAGGACACAGGCTCAGACAGGTAAGGCTTTTCACCCAACACTGCACAGCCAGTGACAACTAGAACTCAAAGGCCATAGCTAGCCAGGGTTGTGGTGCTGCAAAGTCTCTTTCCTTCTGGAACCTCACAAAACTTTGTGGTCTCCTGTAAGCTAAGTGCTATTCTATGAGTAACTTTTTTTTCAATAAGTTTATCAGTGCATTTAAGGCAAACAATGCAGTTACATCCATCCTTGGGATCTTGTACCTTTACATGATGTATCTTGGTTCTTATTTTTGTCTCCATCCCCTGCCCTCCCTTCAACCCCTCCACCCTTCCCTTTTTACAAAGACTTTGTTTCCATTTTTCTTTTTCTCATATTTTCCCCTTTCCGTTCTTTCCTTTCCCCTACCCCTCCCACTTCCCCTACCCCTTTAGACCTTTTCTTCCTATTTCACACAATCAATTATTATACATTTTGAGCCTTATTTACACTTTTAGTTTCAAACACCAGAGAAACTACTCGATATTTACACATGTGCCTTATTCATTTCACATAAGAGTATCACCTCAATGTGCACCATTTAGCTGTAAATTTCTCTAGTTTCTCATTCTTTATGGCTTAGTACTCCATTTTACAAAAAAACCCATATCTTCTTTGTATGAGTAATTATTTTTAATTACATCTGACTGAGTGAGATCTTTGTCAAGAAACTTTGCGTTTTCTCTGTTCTCTGGGGCTGGTCCTCCTTGCAGAGACAGGATAATTAAAAGGAATTTTGACTCTTTCATGTGATTATGTATCCCAGGCTTGTCTAGGGCTCTTGTCCATTGCTCCTCTGGTGAAGACCGGAAGAAGTCTCTTGTTCCGATATTTACACTCAGGAGAGCAGAGCTTCTGCCCTTCCTCACACTTCCTCCTTGGGCCCTCTGGAGTCAGGGCCTCTGCCTCTGTGACGGGGATGTGTAGGGGTAAAAGGTAAAATGGTACAGCAGAACCACGGGGCTGCGGGTGAAACGGGGACAGAAGGAAGTGTCAGGCGGGTTTCCCCTGCAGGAAACATTTCTCCCTGCGCCCCCACGAACATAGAGGGGGAGCCAGGACCTCCAGCTCCTCCACGGATACGCCTTCGGTTTCTGGCTGCCACTCTCTCCTCTTGCCTCTTGCTTGCTCGGGCTCTGACAAGAACAGCTGTCTCAGGGTGGTGGCTGGCTGGGACCCAGCCGTGGGGCTGTCCCGACTGGGCCTGGGAGGAGTCTGCAATGGGCAGAGCTTGAAGGACACAGCAGGAGAGCCTGGCCCAGGCTGTCCGCAGCCACCTCATGACTGCTTCTCTGGGCCTCTGGTAAGCTAAGAAAGTTGGGCTGCTTTTGGATCACAGGCTTTCTACACAGGTATGACCTCTGAACAGGAGACAGGCGACATTTGATAGAAGCAGTTCCACTAGGAAATGTGAGGCTCAAAGCTGCCAATCAAATCTCTGGTTGCCAGGGTTAGGTTTGAAGAACATACACAGTAGTTCCTGTAGATCAAGAACCTCCCAACACATTGCTTCTGCCTTTGGAATATCCGGTCACCATGAAACAGTGGAGACTGCCCTTGTTTTGCTATTCTGCTGACGTCCCCTGACAGTGTAGTTCTCCAACCACCCAGGCATGATTTGGTGGAAAAGTGGAGGTGGCATGAGACCGAACCTCCTTGTTTAGATTCTGGGCTATTAACTTTTGGCTATTTCCAAGCTACCTGGAAAGGAAGAGCTTTTATTTTTAACATTTGAAAGTGACCTGATTAAGTAGTACTAGTTCTCTAATCAGAGAGAAGAAATAAGAGTAAATTTAATCATTATGGCCTCACTTTTCATTCTGTGCTTCCTAATTTGGTTTTGCAGGAATTTTAGGACTGATTGGTGAAGGAAGGTAGCACAGCTCAGAACTCCCAGGAAACTTTTTTTTCTGCACATCTGGGGGTGTTGATTTTTAAGACATTTATATATACCCACGGACTCTAAATAATACTTCAGTGCAGCCTCCTGTATGACTGCATTTTGAATGAACCCTCCACTGTGCTTTAAGCTATCGAATCCCCCATTTTAAAATAAAAATGTAGTTTTAATCGGCTAGAGGCGTTGTCCTATTCTACAATATACCCCCTCATGTATCACTTTCCCGTGGACCTGGTCATAGCCCAGGGTTATTCTGAATTAGTTGAATAGGAGGGTGATGTCCTTCCTCAGGAAACCCTTGCAGCTACTTAAGGGCAACCGATGGGCTCTTCTCCCCATCTGATTCTTCTTGACATTGAAAACCCAATTCCTGTAGTTATCTTTTATTTCTCCCAGTATCCAGATCCTTGATTACCTTTGTACACACACACACACACACACACACACACACACACACACACACACTTTTTCGGCATTCTCTTTATAGTAGCTGTTGCAGGATAATTGACCCATCTTTAATAAATTTTTTATCTTGGTAAAATAACCATAACACGAAATTTATTGTAATAGTACCTTGAAAGGCACAATTCCATGACCTTGGCCCATCCTTATTGTGCTGAAACTATCTCTGCCATCCATTTCCAGAACTGTTTTATCTTCCCAAAGAGAAACCTGTACCCGTTAAATACTAACACCCCATAATCCCCTTCCACTGTCCCTGTAACTGCTGGGTTACCTCCTAACTTTATGAGTTTCATTACTTAGGGACTTCATATATGTGGGATCATATAATATTTGTCTCTTTTCTGTCTAGATTATTTCACTTGGCATAACCTTTTCCAGGTTAATTCATGTTATCACACGTAATCAGAATTTCATTCCATTTTTATGGCTGAATATTATTTCATTGTATGGAGATATCTCAAATTTATTTCCATGTACCTGTTGAAGGGCCCTTAGATGTTTCTGTCTATGGCCATTTTGAAAGATGCTGCTATGAAGTTTAGTGTATAAGCATCGGCACACTTGTTTTAATTCTTTTGAGTATACTAGGAGTGGACTTGCTGGATCATATAATAATGCTGTTGAACTTTATAAAAACTATATTGCTTCTCATAATGACGATACCAACTTACATCTCCATCAGCGATGCATGTACGTTCCTGCAATACTATCCGTATTTTCTGCCTTTGTGGTAATAGTTATCCTGGTGGATGTGAAGCATAGTTCCCTTATGATTTACACACCTCTAATGACTAGTGGTATTGAGCATCTTTCTTTGTGTCCGTGTGTTATGAAACATATCCAGTGTAATCATTGTCCTCCAGATATTATTTGAGCAGAGAAGTTAGATTTCTACGATCCACTACATGACTGTCGGTGCAGGCCAAAAAGGAACTGATTTTTGTAGAAGCTGCACTCTGTTAACTCATTCAGAAATATCAGTTATCTAAAACTGAATTCTGTTCATCATAATTTTCTAAGGTCATATTTTCCCCACCTGGCTCATGACCAATTAAGGCGTTGAATCTAGATAAAGGTGTGTATCAAAATTAGATCTGTTTGGTCTTAGCTGTGTTTTAGTGTACATCTGCATTTTACTCTGCACTCTGTAAACTCTAATAGTCTTTTGTGGTCAGCTGAAATTTTAGCCTGACTTTTAAGTCTTCATTAAGTATATTTATTTCTAGCAATGCTGATGACTAAGGCAGAACCAAAGATGGAATCCTGTGACATGTTTAGGTGATGCTCTAGGTTGTTTGGGTTTGTAATGAACTGTTGTTGCTTGCTAGATGCTTGCTAGGTATTTTCAGGTCTCCGGTAGGGGTGCTAAATCAGTCTAATAACTCACTAGTGGAGTTGGTTCTACCAAAAATGTGAATGACATGTGAGATTAGCATGAACGTTAGTAAGTCTAAGTGAGTCTTGCCGATGATTACTTTTTATATCATTTTAAAAAACAAATAGAAATTCTCCTGCAGCAATCCAAGCTTATTCCTCTTTGAGTGAGGATTTAAAAATTGCTCATTAGCATTCTCGTTTCATTTCTTCTTATATTGATGTTGAATGTTCAAGTCACCTCTGAGCCTTTTATTTTCCATATGAAATAAGATCTACTCTTTGATCTTCCTCCAAAGTATATCCACATTCCATTTTCAAGTGAGTGTTCTTTTCTAGTCTCTGGTAAGAATCTGGTTTCATCATAAACTTATCAAAATGCTGAGCCCAAAGCAATTCTGCTCTACTAAGTATAAAGTCAGAGGAAGCAACTGCACACCTTTCATAGATTCCTTCCTCTGTCCGAGGCAGTATCTGGGCCGCACAGGCAGACCGCGGCCCTGACAGTAGCCAGCCTTCGTATCTTCACTAAGAAAGATAAAACCAACACGCAGTTAGATGAAGAACTGGGCAAACTTGGGGAAAATCACTTACCCTCTGTGAGTTTCACTTCTTTTCCCACAAAATGAAGGAGCAGAGATTAATCTCTCCCGTCATTTTAGTCCCAGCACCCCGTAGGATATGATGTCTTGTCAGGCTGAGCAACCAGACTCATCGTTGTCCTTCCCACCTGGAGACATATCTTTGCTTCTCACCTTACGGGGACAACCTGTAAGTGGTCTTTTCAGTAACAGCATTCCTACCATAAATATTCGTCAAATGTGGAATATAGGTTAGTTTTGGTGGGAAACAGGAGGTTTGTCCTTGTATTTTAGTGGAAGCAAAGAAAACCGTGACTACAGCAGCACTGATAGAAACAAGGGAGATCTGAATAGCTTAAAATACATCATCTACAATTTTAAATTGCCAGTCCTTCCTCTGAGTCAAGACCAGAATTTGAGTGTAATACGATGCCTGGATTGCCAGGGGCACTTGGCCACCCTTTTGCGACATTGGCTTCTAACACAGAGGGCTACATATTAGAATGTCAGAAAATAAGCTTAAAGCCAGGTGTGTTGGCACATGCCTGTAATTCCAGTGCTTGGAGGTTCAGGCAGGAGGATTACCACAAGTTCAAGGCCATCCTGGGCTACACAGTGAGTTCAAGGCCATTCTAAACTACTTACTAAGACTCTGTCTCAAGGTTCCAAACATTATAAAAAAAGAAGATAAGCTTAATATAGAATATGATGTTACAAGGTTACTCATCTGCTTTGTGCTTCAAATTATGGAAGTCTTAGGGCTACCTGGGTCATACTTCCGTTAGACAATCTCACGAATACGCTGGGAAAATGTATACTCTATAAGGTGTAAGGCAATGCAGAGTCCAGGCCATGCTCTGTACGGTTTCTGCCAAACAAAATAAAATAACTTTCTCTACTTCTGTTCTAAAGTCTTGAAAGCTAGAGGAAATGTCACCACCAGTGCATCCTTTACCTGCATAGAGCTCCTTGTGCAGACTCTAAGGAAAGTCTCAGGCTGGCAAGTCACCGTTTCAGTGGAGCCCTGCCAGCAAGTGCCCTCCCAGCGAGAGCACAGCCCTTAAATGTCTAGCAGGAGGCAGGGGCTCCTCTCCACGGTCCTTTGAAGTCATGCTCGTTAGTTAGGCCAGCAGTTCCTTTGTCATTTCTGTGTGCGCGGTAATTGGTGAGCTTACATCCTGCTGTGGTGTTTGCTTTTAAAAAGAAAGGGAGGAAAAGTCACACAGGTGGTGCCCGGGCATCTGAAAATACCCAGCTCTGGCAGCGTGGCCCAGGCTTCACCATCACTCTCTGTGGAGCCCCATCTGTTTTCTTTCTGACTCCAAATGGCAGGAAAGCAAACAAATAGCAAAGTGGGGAAAGGTGATTTTGACAACAAGGTGAGAGGAGAAAAAGAAATATGTCACAACTAAGTTTACCAAGTAATTCGCAGAGTAAGAAATCATACATCATCTTAAAGCCAATGTCAACTTCTGTCACCCTTATCTATTAGAGAGAAACTAACCACTACTTTGTGGTTGCATTAGAAAAGCAAACACACACCTCCATACACTAAAACACTGTCACCGATGATCACACGAACTCCCTTCTAAGAGAGATCTGCACACAAAGCCCTTGTGCTCCATGGCACCCTGAGGAGGGCTGGGGCAGGGATCAGCAAGAGGACAAGAACTCAGGGCAATCTGGGAACTTGACACACTTGTTTCCACGGAGGTTCCATCACTCATCCCTAAAGTGCATCCTTCCGTGTTGAAATGAGCATGGTCTTATTTGACTTATGCTCTCTGCAGGCAGCCAGCAGGGCTGAAAAGAAAAGTACAGCCAGTGCCACCCATGGCAGGAAGAAGATGAGTCATCGCCTAGCACGTAATGCTGAGATGTTTTTCAGTCTGCACACAGCTTCGAAGCAACCTGCCTTTGCTTTCCCCCAGGTAAGTCCAATTGATGATTCATTGATCTTACTATGGTAAAGTTACTGTCTTTTTTAAAAGTCTTGTGGGGAGAGGTTGAGGGAAAAGAAGGCTTATAGAATCAAAAGATTATGGGAAATGCATTTGTGTGTGTGTGAGGAAATTTTATCAACGGGGAAAATAAATCTGAATCCAGGTAAGCTATTTATCCTAGAGTCACTATTTTGAGTTTCATTCCTGCCACAAGCCACTGTGTACAGTGCTCACACAGCTTATGCTTCTGAACAAATCCCCGTCGTTCAAGGTTCTTCACTGCACAGATCCCCCTGCAGAGACTCCATCACCTTGTCAGCCGAGCTCCCAATTTGTTCATTCTAATAATGCGGTGACCACAGAATATATTGTTACCAGCAAGGAGCAAGCCTACAATTAACTCTGCAGTGGTTGCCTCTCACTGACTTGGGCCAAGGAGACTAACAAATGAAGATGCTGTGCCAGAAAACCGAGCCTTTGTTTGTTAGTTTGATTCAGTTGACTGGGCTTCAGGATTTGAATTCATGAGATAACTGCTCGGCCCTCTCTCTCACCTAAGCTACTTGGGGTCCAACCCCGGAAGTGTTCTGTCCACTGGGCTCCCTTCATAGGGGCCTGCTGTGAATTTCCTTGTGACTGGTGTGTAGGGGAGAGAGCAGTGGAGAGGTGCGAAAAAGATGGTCATTTTCAGAAAGCTCGCACTCTGAGAGCTGATCTCTAATTTACAAAATAATAACAATAATAACAGTAGAGAGCCCATTGATGTATGATGTCAGGAGCTAGACAAAAGAGAAAGGTGTACTTCTTCTCACCTCTAGTCTTCAGGGAGATTTTATATATATATATAT